TACAGCGCAGTAGAGCCCAGTGAGATCAGGGTAAAAGCACAGTACAGGAGTAAAGCCCAGTGAGATCAGGGTAAAAGCACAATACAGCAAGCTGGAAATGTAGATGTTGTGTGTTTTAAAAATGCAGATGTTACTGGAATGACGTAAAAGCAGCTGTTCAGGTGAGAGACAGGAGCCGTTCCTCTTCATTGTGTTCACAGCTCATTGGCAGCTGAGGTCACCAGAGCCTTAGGGAGAGGCGGCATGTTTTTGGAATTGGGACTTGGGGTACTGGGGGTTTGGGGACCCCAGCTGCCCACCTTGCTCCCTCCCCTGCCTGTGGGGCGGGTTTGGGCAGGCGGGGGGGTGGCCCGCACACAGGAAATGTCTGTCATGTGACTCATCGACGGGGGGGGGGTGAGTCAGGGGCTCTCTGTGAGTCACCTGGAGAAAGCACCCAGACCTCGTTATCAATCCCTCAGCATGTCGGTGACCAGCGGCTCAGTTCTGTAATTGAATTACTGGTTCTAGTTGAGCTAAATGAGCAGGTTGTGCAACAGAAAGACACTACAACTGGCCTGATGACTTCCCCCTGTGAGTAACGCGCTGCTCAGACACGCATCACTGCACCCTGCTGTCCCGCCAGCATCCCGGTCCCCTCTGGGCGCAGTACCGCGGCGGGCCACTGGGTGGCAGCAGTGCCCCGTATTTTTCTTCCCTCTCAGATGTCATAAGACTGTCCGTCCATTTTCTCACCGCTTCTTCCGTAACAGTGTCGCAGCAGCGGGTCCAAGGCGGGGTCACTCCCTGATGGGACGCCAACCCACCGCAGGGCACACAAAGAAATACACACACACACAACAGGGCCTGTTTTCCCACATTTAATTATCTCTTCATTAAGACAGCACCCCAGGTCCGGAATTGAACCGGGAGCCCAAGATGACCACTGTGTTACCATGCTGCCCTCATAGGAATAGAAAGGTTACAAAATGAGAGGCCTTTTTCCCATCTGGCCTTGTTGGAAAGAAGTGATGCCTTGATCTAACCATGTCCTGCCAGGGTGGCAGCTTCAGCAGCTTGAAGCTGAGCCGCTTGTTCCACACTCCCACCACCCTTAGGGTAAAGAAGTGCCTCCTGTTCCTGGTTTTAAACACCATTCCTTGTATCAGCTCCCCAGCAGCACTTGCCTGGGGACAGGACGAGCACGAGCAGGGCCTGACATAGACGATCAGTGTGTGTGTGTGTGGGGGGAGTGAGGTTCTGCTGTGTCCCCTGATCCGGCTGTGTGTCCCTCTGTGTCCGTGTCCAGCTGTCTCCGGAGGAGCTGGAGCGCCGGCGCGTCAGGAGGGAGCGGAACAAGCTGGCAGCAGCCAAGTGTCGGAATCGCCGTCGGGAACTGACCGAGACGCTGCAGACCGTGAGTCCGGAGTGGACACACGAGTGTCCAGCCACTGTCTGTATTAATATTAACCCCTCTCTCTCTCTCAGTGCAGTGTTCATGTACTGGAGTGTCCAGTCAGTGTGTCTGTATGAACCCCCCTCTCTCTCAGTGCAGTGTTCATGTACTGGAGTGTCCAGTCAGT